TTTCACAAGATCTGAGAATTATTCCCCATTCATTATGCTTTTAAGATAGGGCCAAAAAAAAAATTGTTTTGTTGCCCTCGGCGACCGACCGAAAAATATGAAATATCGAGTTGCGTTTATTTTTTTTAATAGGCCAAAATATTAAAAACTCACCATTTTAAGCAGTAAAAAAATTTTTCCTCTAAAAATTAAAGATCCCGGACCGTTGTTTGATCCCCAGAGTTGATCTGTATTTCTCTGACATGTTCTGAATACTATGAAGTCCATATACCTTGGCAATTTACAAAAGTTTTCACAAATTTAAAAAAAAAAAAATCCGACGACCTACCCAATTTTTCAACTTAAGGGCAACATAAGTTTTGTTTTTTTTGGCCTAGACTTGGTGATTGTATATGAATCTCACAAAGTAAAGGTGATTTATTCTAGAATTCATTGTCATAAAATCAAACCAAATAATATTCAATGTGCTATACTGAAATACTGAAGATTTTTACCGTTTATATGAGCCCCTGGTTTGACCCATTCCCATTCAACAATCGGTTGTTTTGCAAAAGTTGCTGTTACTATGACATCAGCACCCCTAACAGCTTCTTCTGCAGTTTCGCAAACTTTCGATTTCAGCTGAGACGAGAATGCTTGTGCATTTTTTAAGGTTGGGCTCCAAACCCGCACCTGCAAGAAAATATTATAATTAAACCACTTATCAAAAGCAAATCGGTAATATTATGGTCTGAAATGCTAATTCAACTATTTAAATTAGATTTATTCACTCATGCGCAAATGCACAGAGGAGAATCTTTGAGTTTACTCAGTCTGTTTGCAAGTTCTACTGATATCTCTAGAACTAATCAACAGATTTCAATGAAACATTGGTATATATATATATATATATATATGTATGATAATCATTATGTCATCGTGTGATTGGATATTCAGTATGGTATTACAAATGCAAACATCTCCCAATCACTTGATTATCATCATCTTCGCCAGCCAAAGTTCATTCACCATTATACCTTGGCAGAACTCCTACTATAAACTTGTATTCAATGTTGAAGAAATCAAACAACTATCTATGCTCTGGTGCATTTCCATGGTGAATGAAACACAAAATCATATGTTATGACTGTTTCCATGGGAATAATGGGATTAAGATATGACCTGATATAAGACAGCAAAATCCATTGGTTTACATTTGAAATTAATGTAAGTTGTTACAGGACATGCTGATTGATGAACCCAGCCCCTCGGCACACCCCCATCAAATGGAAACTATTTCGAATAATGCAATTAATTAATTTATTTATTTATTATTTATTTATTTATGTTATTTATCCAATATAATTGAGGGCAACATAGCTTTCCCAATTATGCACAGGCGAATGAAACTATGAATTAATTTTATTATGAATATTAAAAGGAAATGTAATGTCCAGTAAGTAGATCAAGTCTTGTGATGTGTTATGGGAAATCAAATGTAAAGTTATGAGTTTTAGTAGGTTAATCTATGATGTGATATAAGACAGCAAAATTCATTGGTTTACATTTGAAATTAATACAAGTTGTTACAAGACATGTTGATTGATGGATTCCGCTCCTTGGCACACCCCCATAAAATAGAAACTATTTCTATGGATGCAATTAATTGATTAATTAATCATTCATTTATTAAAGTGACTGAATATCAACAGCGCCACCTAGTGTCACAAATATTTATGGTAAATTTGTATTTTTGAATACTTCTGCTCAAAGACACAATGGAAAACTGCGAAAAGCCTGATGGAGTACAGGTAAATCTCATATCATTGATTAGAGTCGTGTATGTTGAGTTTAATAATTATTATTATACATCTGTCACCGTAACGCCACTGTAAGTTACAGTAGGCCGTAATTTTGCAGTATTTTACAGGGTATTTTCATCCTACCATACAAGGAAGTGCAAATTCCAAATATGGAATGATTACGCGCGTAAGCATCTTCTAATAATAAAAACATGGCTGCCACCAGGGTTTGACTGTATTTAACACAAGGAAGTTTGGATTTCGGCATTCCCATGATGTATCCTTGGAAAGAAAAGATGTATAATAATAAAGGTTGTTACGACAATACGTCAAAGTATGCACTCAGACAGTACAATGCGGATCAATCTCTGCTGCGTGTTGGTCGATACTCCAGCTGTACTGTCTTCGTTCATATTTTGAGGTATTCTCGTAATCACCTCATATTATTAGAATTTAAATTAATAATGTAAACACCATGAATAGCACTGTACCTCTTCAAAATTGCAAATATGATGCAGTGATTTGTAGTGACTTCGTGCCTGTTCACCAGAACCAAGTATGCACAGAATTTTTGAGTTCTCGGAAGCCAAATACTGCAAAATAAATGTGTTAATTATACTCTAAGCGACATACTATATACATATTTTAATTTTACAGTAAGGCCACACCGACTTAATTTTATGTATGACATCCGCGTGCACATTAGTTTTCGCCTGTTCTAAAAAAAAAAAAAAAAAACAACGATGTCGAGTCTCCACAGAGAACGGTTTTCTCTTCGGAACTTGCCGACTCGTATTTTCGCAAAGCGCGGGCTTATCGTAAAAGATCTTCTGCTCATGCGTATTGTGTTGCCGAGAATTCCAACATGGCGACCACGCCACCAAAATATGTGAGCATAAAAGTTCAGAGAAAAACTCAGGGATTGTAGTAGACTGGTACGCAATTGACATCGGCCAAAGAGATGTGACGTTTACACAGCTATACAAGAGATTGGTAGCGGCAAGCGAGTTTTGCCCAGACAACTTTAAGGACATATTGTACAGAGTGGCTGACCCACGTTTCTTCTGCAATGATGAGAGAAATGGGAGAGGAGTGGAGGTGTATGGTGGCCTAGCAAGGACATTTCTGTATCATTGCAATGTTTTGTTAGTTATTGTCATTCATATACATTGCGCCTTGACTTGTACTGAAAATGGCGTTCATGCTGTACCTTGAATGCAGTGTTTCTGACTGAAGGTACTTCATTATGACTACATGTACTACATGTACAGTACGAGATGTGTACATCAACATGTGCCTCCTACAAATAAAGACTTCTTGTTGATTTTTTTGATACACTGTGTTCTGTGGTTCAATTTGTTATACCAGCTCCGTAGTCCTGTGGTTTTAGCAGCATTTTTTTTTTGGCAAGATTTTTTTTTTTCACCCTCTCGCATTAGTTTTGAGGTTGCCAGAGGATGTCATTCATAAAATTAAATCAATGTGGCCTAACACACCTCAGACTACATCTGACCAACTCCCTTTGCAAATCACTTTTGGCAGCCTTTCCCTGAGGAGATTTGTCAATCAATTAGAATGGGAGTTACTAAACAAAGTTATGTCATTCTAGAAAGAGACCTGATTAGTTTCAATTCATGCGATACTTTAGTTGCAGTTAGATACTAGGGGTATGTAGACCAGTGGCCATATGCTTATAATTTATGTATTAATTTAAGTATGTGATCACAGCTTTTACTTATTAGATTTGTATCAGATTAAAATACAAGAAACAAGTCATTGTCAATGACACGTCCCCGTTCCGTTCATATTTGAGTGTCAGAGGAGTTTG